GAAAAAACCAGGAAAAACAAAGTAAAGTCTAAAGTTTGTTAAGTGATAAAAATCTCACATTAAAATAGTAATAAAAAATATGCATACTTAAACATAAGATGGATTACTCTGTGAATTGATATTTGATTTCATGTTAAATACTGTTGTTGTTTTTAGGTCCACCTGACACACATGAACTAGATTGTTTATCAAGAAAGAATATATTGATGTAACAAATGAATGGGAGTTGGTCTCTTTATCCACTGTTGTATTTGGGCAAGAATCTGTGATCTTGACAAGCTCAATGGGGTGTAATTTGCATATTTAGGTGAGGGCTAAAAGCTGCTTGACCTTCCTCTTTGGTCAGCAACTTTTTGTTTCTTCTTTTCTTCATTCCCTTCCTATTTCAGGTCTTTCTCTAGCTTATCATCTACTTGTCTCTTGGATGATTGAAAATCTTCTTAAAAGATAAATCTCGCTAACCTGTCATTGACTTCACTCCATGTCTTTGGTGGGTTTTTCAGTAGGTCATCAAGAAAGTGACCAAGTTTCAGCCCATCCAACAAGGTGAATAGGCAAATAGTATCTAGGACATTGTCAATGTCTAAAGTGGCTTTATTAAATCTCTACATATAATCCATTAAGGACTCATTTTCTTTCTAATTAACTCGCATCAGCTCTCTGGTTATGCATTTTATCTCCCGTTGCCTCACAAATTTATTAGAAAATAATGTGGTGAGCTGGGAGTAGTAGGTGATTGAATGCCTTGATAGTTTGTGGTACCATCTTCGAGCTATCGATTTCAAAGTAGCTAGAAACACCTTACACATCATCACATCTGTAGCATTCTATATCTTCATGATAGCTTGATATGTATGCAAATAGTCATCAAGGTCTCCTAAACATTATATGTCTCGAGATGAGGAATTTTGAACCCTTCTTGGTAAGGTTTGGATGTAATGGACAACCTGAGGGGAGCAATATTTGGGTCTGGGGCCTAAAGTCGTAACCTTAGATTCTTCAGCTTGTTAATAGAATTCTAGGTTTCTTTCAATTGTTTTTCCAACTCTGCATTCTTTTTCAATAGCTCTTCATTCGATTTTGACGAGCTGGGTTCTACATTAGGTCGTTCACTTCTTTAGGCTTTGTGGGTATAACAATATTGCTCAACGTTGGGGAACGACAAGATGAGGTTCTTGGCTATTGTTCACCTCTATTTAACAAGTGGATTAAAGGGTCATCCAGGATAAGATGTGATAAAATTCTTCCCATAGCCATTTCTCGGATCTTGGTTCTTTCTTCAAGTTTAGAATTCTGTGCAATAGGCATGGAAGGTTCTATTCAAGTTGCTCGCCTGGCTGGTCAAGCTCTCGGTGGGGTTTGTTGCTCTTTCCCTTCAGGTTGTGTTACATAGCTTGTTAAGGTTCTTTTGTCATCTGAGCTATTGTCCTGTGCTTCTTTTGCCTTGCCGACACCGCCCACAAATAAAAATCAGGCAAATGTTCAAACCCACATGAGTCAATTCTGGGAAAGGGGCTTGATTGTCTTGTCGATTCACTTGAGGTGGCTAAAAACCTGTAAAAGTTTGCACCATTTTAGCTTGACTAGTAAAACAGCACAACTATTTTGTTCTTTCCCATAGACAACACTAAATGTTTGGGTAGCTTCATGAGCTCTTATTGTGGAGATCACAAACTGTTCTAATACTTGAAAAACCCAAGGATGCTTTCTTAGGGAAAATACTTTGATGCTCAAGTTAGCAATACTCTGTAATTTAGAGAGAGAAACTCTCAAGAAGATTTGTTGCAGAGAGAAAAGTGTAATTAAGTTATTACCTTATATGGAGGTTGTTGGGGGTATTTATAGGCCCCGTTTATGACAATGGTCTCTACTGGTACACTTGTTGTGAGTCATGTGAGTGTGTTATGATTACAATGCCTCTACTTTTAAGTTTTACACGACTTTTTGAGCCTTATTGCTGATGTTGGGCCTACTCCCTAACAGTTGGTAAGAAATTCTGCTCTTTATTGTTCAAAAATTCAATTTTAAAAAAATCACGAGAAGGTGAGTCATTATAAATCTCTTAAATCACTTCAGGTTGATAAATTCAATACCACGTTACGTCAAAAAAAAAAAAGAAAAAAGAAAAAAGAAAAAAGACACTGTTAAAATCCATTCCTTCTAGACCTCGTGGTTAGTGGTTGATGTAAAAAAATGCGGAGGGATATACGTTTGAATTGTCTGATACTGTTATAGAATTTGATGCTTGTTTCAATTTTGCTTTTCTTCAGCCTATATAAGCATTAGAGTTTGATTGCAAATATTCATCAAAGAGAACAAAGCAAATATAATCAATCAAGTGAGTTGGGTTTGAGATTTCCAGTGACAGAAAAATTACGGCGAAGGGTAGTCAATGTGGCAGCAAATCTGGGGGTAGTCAATGCAGCAAATCTGGGGTTAGCCAATGTGGCAGCAAATCTGGGAGTAATCAAGGTGGCAGCAGAGGTGGGGTAGTCAAGGTGGCAGCAGGGGTGGAGGTAACCAGGGTGGCAGCAAGGGTGGGGGTAACCAAGGTGGCAGCAGTGGTAACCAGAGTGGAGCAGCTAACAACTCCAGTGCACCTAAAAGTGACAGCGACAAATTAACCATTTGTGGTGAAATTAAGCAGGGATCCAACGAAGCTAAGCTTTGCTACACACCCAGTGGCGACGAAACCTGGACTTTGAGCGTGAACTGGAAGTAATTCTAAGAGTTGTATGCATGCCTATGACTAATCATAGCAGCAGACACTGGATGCTATTAAACCATTCCTCATGCTACTTACACATCAATAAATTCTGCTGCTATGCGCCTACCATATATTGGTATCTTACCTTTGAAATCAAGGAATGTTGTAATGAAATGAACTATGTACTATATGTACCAAAAAAAATGAAATGAACTACTAAATATAGATGTCTATATTTACATATATCAAGCTGATCTAATAATAAATATATACTTCAAAAATGTTCAAATTCATACCTAGTTCAAAATTTAAAGTTCAGGGATGACTTTCTTGTGTGAATCTATTTCCTTCTATCCATGGAAATCTGCCCCAGAAAATGTTAGCATCAGACATATGGTTCTACTCTCTCATTAATTGGATCATGAATGTAAATTAAAAAGGGGAAGGGTGGGGAAAAGGTTTTCTTGAATCAATTTTAATCCTCCAAGTTCACCTAACATTTACTGGATTAAGCTGAAAGCAAAAGTCCCTCTCTTGACTTACTTCTTGGTGTCACGATTTCCTTCTTATTTTTAAAATGTGGCAGAAGTTGGTGCCCTTTAGAATGTGGTTCGTATGTAGTAACTTGAAAATCCAGGACCACTCAACACAATCGCAGTCTACCACCGAATGCTTGAAACTTAGATTGAAAAGGCGAAACCAAGCTTTTCTTCGGACATACTGCTTGTCTGTGCTACTTCTGCAGTGAAATTGCCACATCCATTTTTATGTTTTCGTATAGTCTAAATTGA